CCTCCCTATCTCTGTTCCTCACATGGTCGTGCTGCTCCCCTCCGGCTCACGGAAAGAAAACCTTCCTGCAGCTTTCTTCATTTTCAACATTAGCAGTCAGAAAAGATGGCCTTGCTCGGAGGATTTGCTTCATATTTCGCCTCGGGACTCTTGTGTGTCATTTATCGCTCCTGATGGCCTCTCCTGGCACAAGAGCACTGCTTTTTAATGTTGACACCGGGCTGTTTAGTTACTCTCTGTAGGGCCCATCACTGGACTGTCATCTTTCTGGAAATGTTGTGATTTGTTCAGAGAAGTCTGAAACACTTTTGCCATCTGTGCTGTTTAGTTTGCGTGTCTCAAGCCGAATGAAGGACAAAATTCTGTTGGAAGACGAGATGAGTTGCTTCTATTACAGTCTTCATCATTCTTTCATTATGTTTACGCAAATGCTGACCTTGTCGAGCTCAACAGTTCAAAAAATATTTGAAAAACAACATTAACATGTAGGCCTATTGTTCATGGTACAAAGCACAAACACATTAACTGCAAATAATGTGGTTTATCAGGTGCATATGGTGTAGTGTTTCTCATTGTTCCTAAAAGTAATAAATAACTATTTATACTAGACTGTAACTGCTTGTTTAGCATTGGGACGTTCCCTCTTAAATGGATAGTTCACCCAAAAATGAAAATTCTGTCATTAATTACTCACCCTCATGTCGTTTTAAACCTGTAAGACCTTCGTTGATCTTCGGAACACAAATTAAGATATTTTAGATGAAATAGCTCCCATAGACAGCAAGGGTACCACCACAGCAAGGCACAGAAATGTAGTGAGGACACCGTTAAAATAATCCATGTGACATCAGGGGTTCAATCGTAATTTTACGAAGCTAGAGGAGAAGAAGAAGGAGAAGAATTGTTGAATGAAGTCATTATTTTTGTTTTCATTGCGCACAGAAAGTATTCTCGTAGCTTCATAAAATTATGGTTGAACACCTGATGTCACATGGATTATTTTAACAATGTCCTTACTGCGTTTCGGTGTCTTGATCGTGATTCGTGGTGGTACCCTTGCTGTCTATTGATGGTCTGAGAGCTCTCGGATTTCATCAAAACTATCTTAAATTGTGTTCCGAAGATGAAAGAAGGTCTTACAGGTTTGGAATGACATGAGCGTGAGTAATTATGAAAGAATTTTCATTTTTGGGTGAACTATCCGTTTAAAACTAGTTCACACCAAGAACGATAACTATTAGGGCAATTATAAGGTATTATAACTATATTAGCGTAAACCCAAGAATTAAAAGTGTGAGAGACCTACTTGTCATGGAAATGTCTTCCTGGAGCTCAGCTGGTGAAGAACAGAGAACACATACCGATTCACTTAAAAAAAAAAAGACATATCTAGAGACCAGAAACTCACAGAGAGATGAAGGGCAAACTCTTCTGACTGGGACCAGTGAAAGTTCCTATAATGCAGAGTGTTAATACAAAAATTGAGTTTAAAGAACGTTGCAGGAACGTTACGCTTATCTTGATGTAAACATTCCATTATCATTAAAGAAACCTGGACCTTTTTCCATTTTTAGAACATTTCAAATCACTGTTCCAACAACCAAAATTGAATGTTTGGAAAACGTTCTTAGAACATACATTTGTAAGCTGGTTATGTGGCCGCCTAGTAACCACCCAGAACACCCTAGCAACAGCATAACAACACGCTGAAATCCACTCAGAACATCTTAACTCTAGCAATTCCCTGGCAACCACCCACAATGACCTGACCTACAGTACACTGTAAAAATAATCATAATTTTAATGGGAAAAGACTGTTAATTGGTTAAGGTTCCCTTGCTATATGGTGAAAAATTGTAATGAATCTAATGGGACATTTCATGTAATGAGGTTTTGTTAAAGTTTAGAGAAAAGACATGAACGGACATTCCCAGGATCCCCTGATTGACATTTCACATTTGATGCTTTTTTATTGACAAATTGTTTAACAAATGACGTACACTGTAAAAAATGACCGTGAATTTAATGGTAAAAGACTGTAAAAATGCTACAGTAAAAACCTGTTAAATGGTTAACGGTAAATTCCCCTACTATATACGGTGAAAAACTGTATTGGACATTACATGTATTGGACATAAATTTTACGGTAGTATACCGTTTTTGGAAGTGAAAAAGACAATTCTGTCATTAATTACTCACCCTCATGTCGTTTTAAACCTGTAAGACCTTCGTTGATCTTCGGAACACAAATTAAGATATTTTAGATGAAATAGCTCCCATAGACAGCAAGGGTACCACCACAGCAAGGCACAGAAATGTAGTGAGGACACCGTTAAAATAATCCATGTGACATCAGGGGTTCAATCGTAATTTTACGAAGCTAGAGGAGAAGAAGAAGGAGAAGAATTGTTGAATGAAGTCATTATTTTTGTTTTCATTGCGCACAGAAAGTATTCTCGTAGCTTCATAAAATTATGGTTGAACACCTGATGTCACATGGATTATTTTAACAATGTCCTTACTGCGTTTCGGTGTCTTGATCGTGATTCGTGGTGGTACCCTTGCTGTCTATTGATGGTCTGAGAGCTCTCGGATTTCATCAAAACTATCTTAAATTGTGTTCCGAAGATGAAAGAAGGTCTTACAGGTTTGGAATGACATGAGCGTGAGTAATTATGAAAGAATTTTCATTTTTGGGTGAACTATCCGTTTAAAACTAGTTCACACCAAGAACGATAACTATTAGGGCAATTATAAGGTATTATAACTATATTAGCGTAAACCCAACTGCACAATAATGTTATGTTAATTATAATGCACGTCGATTGCTGCTTTACATTTACATTTTGACATTTAGCTGATGCTTTTATCCAAAGCGACTTACAAATGAGGAGAATGGAAGCAATCAAAATCAACAAAAGAGCAATGATATGCAAGTGCTATAACAAGTCTCAGTTAGCTTAATGCAGCACACGTCGCAAGTTTTTTTTTTAAAACCACATAATAAATAAAAAGAAAACAGATAGAATAGAAAAAGAATAGAGCAAGCTAGTGTTAGAGGTGCAAGTCTAAAAGGGGCAAGTTTTTTTTTTTTTTTTTTTACTTTGCTTTAAAAACTCATGCGCTTTGAAGTGGAGCGGATTCTGATTGGCTGTTGATGTTTTAGGCTATTGTTTATCGGCTGGAAAAAAAAACCGATAACGTTGTTCTGTATCGTTATTGTTAAAGCTGTGGTGTGGACTTCCCTATTCTGGTAGAATAAGAACGGTCAGGTTCTTAGAATGATTAGAATGTTTATTAAAATGAACCATCCTTTAAAGATGATAATTAGTGTCCATATCGTCCTTTAAAGATAATAATATTAGCGTCCATATCGTCCTTTAAAGAAGTGTTATTGCAAGAATGTTAGTGTCCATACCATGCATGATTTAAAGGGGTCATATGATGCTGCTAAAAAGAACATTATTTTGTGTATTTGGTGTACGCGATCTTCCATTATTATGTCACCAATTCTCGTGCTCTTTGAAGTAGAGTGGAATCTGATTGGCTGTCAATGTTTTATCGTCATCAGCTGGAAAAAAAATCTTAAAGTAACGCCAATGATATCTTTCCTCGTTATAATTGTGATGTTAACTTCTCTCTTCATATACACTTTATGCTGTTCTCCAGCTGATTTTGGTGGTTTCATTCCTGATACTTTGGGCTTGATTTGGGAACATACAATTTCCTCAGAGTTCAGAGTATGAGATTCCACAGAAAGAGATGTTTCAGACGTGATGGGCTTCTGGCTTGTTCTGGAGCTGAAAGCTGAACATCGGGTTCTTCTGTTCGATAACACATCAAACATCCTTCCAGGTGTCCGAAGACACTCAGCAGAGCATCAGATGTCACAGTCTCTGAAGTCCTCCAGGTGTTCCAGGACATGCAGCTCCACACCTCAAAGACGGAACGAAAAGAACTCCTCCTCAATTCCTCATGGAACCTGTTCCAAAGTTACAAGTGACTTTCAACAACTCATCAATCAATGAATGAAATCCGAGGATATTGTACAATCAAGACAAAAGCATGCATGTCCAAAAAACAAAACATTGTACATTATTGATACATTACAATTGTATATTGTATTGCTCTCAAGTTAGATATTGTTTCCAAATACTTTTTAATATCAGTTTTGAATTTTTCAAACATTTTTTTTTTACATCATTTGACTTCTTGAATATAATACTGATCAAATATAATAAATACATAAAAAATAAATACTAGATTTTTATCACCACCATCCAATGAAAAATATCTTAACATATCAGTTTTTATTAATAAAATTAACAGTGTTCATCTCTTTTTGTAAATATTTTTTTAGTGCTGTCAAACGATTAATCGCATCCAAAATAAAAGTTTTTTGTTTACATAATATATGTGTGTATAATGTGTATATTTATCATGTATATATAAATACAAACACATGCATGTATATATTTAAGAAAAATATGTTTATATGTTCAATATATTTATATATAATATAAGAATATAAATATATACATTTAAATACATGTAAATGTTTTCAAAATATTTACTGTATGTGTGTGTGTTTATATATACATAATAAATATACACAGTGCACACACATATATTATGTAAACAAAAAAACTTTTATTTTGGATGCGATTAGTCGCGATTAATCGTTTGGCAGCACTAATTTTTTTCAGTTCTGTCCAAAAAAATGTATACCTTATAAAGCATACTTTTTCAAAGACAGTTTCAGTTTATTTATAAAGCACAGTTAAAACAACACTGTTTACCAAAGTATGGTACAATAATAAAACATGCAGTCTAATCAAATAAAAGGGAAGAAAAACAAATGTTATTTAAAAAAAGATATAGCCTAATATAAACGATATTGTACAGCCTGTCATTCGCCTCTCGGTCGTGAGGGGCGATATTGTGTTCAAGTGACATGATGGAGCTCGGATGAATCAATAGAGGAAGAGCCTGTTTCCCACAATTCTGTGCGCCCGCACTGCAGCCATTTCGAGTTCCTCACCTGCAGTTTAATGTGCTGCAGCTCAAACTCAAGGTTTATTTCTCTGATTTCTTTTTAATTTCACGTATTTGCGACTCCAGAAGAAAATTGTACTGCGTGGGCGCGTGTGAAGACTTTAAATCGCCAACATGCCGCGGATTATGATCAAAGGAGGCGTGTGGCGCAACACTGAGGTTTGTTTAGAAAACACACACAATATTTCAGCATTAAAACGCCATTAATCACCAGTATTTTATTCATCAAAGGCATTTAAACTTCATATGAAGAATATTTATTGGAATTGTACAAATATCTGCATTGCTGTGTTTTTAATTACTGACTAACGTGACGTTGTATGTTGTGATGTGGACAGCCTTCAGCTCGGGCTGAATATTTATACATTTTTATGAATTATTATTATTTATTTATTTTTATTGAGTGAATAAAATATCAAAAACATGCATGCAGTTACAATTTACGTGCATGCCATACAATTTAGATTGTTTTAAGCAAGATTGTTAATTAGGCTGCATAAATACTGAAGTTATAAGTCTAGATTGATTCAATTTCGACATTTATGATATTTTAATAATTGTTTTTCAAATATTAATTTCATTATTAAATCAAATATTAAATTGCATGTTTATTAATTCGTAAAGCTTGTATTTTATTTTTATTCATTATATATTGCAATATTTCAGCATTAAAACGCCATTAATCACCAGTATTTTATTCATCAAAGGCATTTAAACTTCATATGAAGAATATTTATTGGAATTGTACAAATATCTGCATTGCTGTGTTTTTATTTACTGACTAACGTGACGTTGTATGTTGTAATGTGGACAGCCTTCAGCTCGGGCTGAATATTTATACATTTTTATGAATAATTATTATTTATTTATTTTTATTGAGTGAATAAAATATCAAAAACATGCATGCAGTTACAATTTACGTGCATGCCATACAATTTAGATTGTTTTAAGCAAGATTGTTAATTAGGCTGCATAAATACTGAAGTTATAAGTCTAGATTGATTCAATTTCGACATTTATGATATTTTAATAATTGTTTTTCAAATATTAATTTCATTATTAAATCAAATATTAAATTGCATGTTTATTAATTCGTAAAGCTTGTATTTTATTTTTATTCATTATATATTGGTATTAAGTATATGTATTTTTTATTTGTTAGTTTACAGCTTTTCTGGAAATGACATGCATGTAAATATAATCTGTTCACACGTGACATTTACCTTGCTTCTCACTGACACTCTTGTTTTCTTGATAAACAAGTACACTAACTTTTGAAAGAACATTATTAGGCTCATATTTGCTTATTATGGTGGAAGTTGAATACTGAAATAATTTCATCCTTATTTGAGTTTTGCATTAGAATGCTTTTCAAAGCTGATGTTAGATTAGTAAAATGATCTGTCATTTGAGTCGTCTTGTTGTTGCATCCCTGATGTGTTATTTAAGACCTATTTAATAATTATTCATGTCTTTGATTGGATTTATTAACAGGATGAGATTCTCAAAGCAGCTGTAATGAAATATGGCAAAAATCAGTGGTCTCGAATCGCATCCCTGCTGCACCGCAAATCAGCCAAACAGTGTAAAGCCAGATGGTGAGTTTATATCACTCAAGTTATCTCAAAACCTAGTGATCAGCCTACCTGGACAGCATTTTTGAGCATCATAGGTGCATTTGAATGTGCTGTGATGCCCAAATATGCAATCTCTTGATCATATATTCCAGGTCTGATGTGTTTGTCACTTATGATTGGTTTCTCACAGGTATGAGTGGCTGGACCCCAGCATCAAGAAAACAGAATGGTCACGTGAGGAAGAGGAGAAACTTCTTCACTTGGCCAAACTGATGCCCACTCAGTGGAGGACAATCGCCCCCATCATCGGACGAACGGCCGCTCAGTGTCTGGAGCATTACGAATATCTGCTGTATGTACAGTTTGATGCACAATACAAACAACCTGTAATTACTTTCACCGGTGAACTGTTTTGGTTTCCGCCACTGAATAAAAAATGTAAAAGTGATTGCTACTTTTAGGGCTGTCCAAAAAAAATTTGAATTTCGAATATTCGTCGAATTTAAAATAAAAATCCACATTCGAATGCAAAAACGTTGTTAGCCTATCCATTTGAAGCCACTAGATGCGGCGCTGCTGCGTTGTTAATTACTAATATTGCGGGAAATATTACGTCAATATACGTTAATATTACGTCAAAACTGAACGCATATTTTGTGCATTTTCTAGAGGGACATCTATCACCGTTGCATTCGCGTCTCGCGCAAAAGAGCAGCATGTTTAAAAAGCCATGTAAAATTAATGCAAGTTCAACTTTGAAAAAACATATCTCGAGACTTTATGGCGGGGGGGTTTCCCCACCCCCCGTCCCGTCCTGTTTTTAAATGAAAAATATACTCTGTGTGATTGGCTTTCGGCCCTTTGTATTAAACTATGCATGCATGCATACATACATGATGCTGTTTTGTTTATAGTTGTTTAAGCAACTTAATTATTGATAATATTTAAGTACAAAATTCTAATTTAGTTTTTCAGCCGTTTTGACAGCCATAGCTACTTTATAACTCACAGTTCAGACTTATTTCTCACAATTGTGACTTCTAAAGTCAGAATTGCGAGATACAAACTTGCAATTGTAAGAAAATGTCAGAATCGCAAGCTGACATTTTTCCTCAGAATTGGACTTTATAACTCACAAATGTGAGTTTATATCTCAAAATTGAGAAAAGTCACAATTGCGATATATAAATTCAAAATTCTGCCTGTTTTCTCACAATTGTGACTTTATTTCTCACAATTCTAACTTTGCTTCTTGCAATTGCGAGTGTTGTTTGCTGCGAGTTATTCGCAATTCTGAGGAAAAAGTCAGCTCTTAATTGTGAGGGGAAAAGGCAGAGTTCTTTTGCAATTCAGAATTGCTAATTGTGATAGATAAACTCAGAAATTGTGAAATTAAAAGTTGCAAAAAAATTTCCTTTTTTATTGTTTTAATCCTGTGGCGGTAACAGGCTTCCATACTCTTATGAACAATAAAGTGAAAAAACTATAACTCAAAGTAAATTTTTCACAATCCAGTCTAATTTTAAATGTGTTGATCATATAATTCAAGTTCAGTGCAGTCATGTTGTCTTTTTGGTTTTACATGCACCTTTTTGTAGATGAAGAATTTGTTTATTAATTTGTTCTTTGTGATCACAGAGATAAAGCCGCCCAGAGAGAGAATGAAGATGATGTGGGCGATGACCCTCGCAAGCTTAAACCAGGAGAGATCGACCCAAACCCTGAGACCAAACCAGCCAGACCTGACCCTGTGGACATGGATGAAGGTGAGTGTCTAAAAAAACAATCTGATGAAAACTGTTTTAGCACTGCGATTGAAAAGACAATGCATGACATCCGTAAACTTGCATGTGCAGATGAGCTGGAGATGCTGTCTGAAGCCAGAGCTCGACTGGCCAACACACAAGGCAAGAAGGCAAAGCGGAAAGCCAGAGAGAAGCAGCTGGAGGAAGCACGGTAAGATCTGGTGTCATAAGGACACATTTAGGTCTCCGAATAAATTTTTGTAAGACTATACTACAATACTGTTCAAAAGTTTGGGGTCAGTAAATTTTCTTTCTTTTTTTGAAAGGAAGTAATGTTTTTATCCAGCAAGGATGCGGGAAATTGATACAAAGTGATAGTAAAGACTTATATTGTTAGAAAAGATTTCTATTTTGAACAAATGCTGTTCTTTTTTAACATTTGATTCATTAAAGAATCTTGAAAAAAGGTATCACTGGTTCCAAAAAATATTAAGCAGCAAAACTCTTTTCAACACCGCTAATAAATCAGCATATTGGTAATAAATCAGAATGATGTCTGAAGGATCATGTGACACTGAAGACTGGAGTAATGGCTGATGAAAATTCAGCTTTGCATCACATGAATAAACTATTTTAAAGTATATTAAAATAGAACACAGTTATTTTAAATTGTAAGAATATTTCACAATATTACTGTTTTGTCTGTATTTTTGATCAAATTAATGCATCCTTGGAAAGCAGAAGAGACTTAAAAAAAAAAAAAACATTACAAATTGTACTGATCCCAAACTTTTGAACAACAGTGTGTATATATTCATAAATCACATTGAGTTGTTTATCAGAGGTGTTAATCACAGTGTTCTCTCCGCTGTTTTCTGCAGTCGTCTGGCAGCGCTTCAGAAGCGCAGGGAGCTGCGAGCTGCAGGCATCGACATCCAGAAGAAGCGCAAGAAGAAGAGAGGTGTCGACTATAATGCTGAGATCCCGTTTGAAAAGAAACCCGCGCAGGGCTTCTACGATACATCCATGGAGCTGTACAATCCTTTGGAACCGAACTTCAAACGACTGCGCCAGCAGCATCTCGATGGAGAACTCAGGAGGTGAGCGGGGTCGTGGCAGACCTCCTCCTGTAGAGCTGCAGGTAGTTCAGTGTCCTGGATGGGTGTGTTTTTGATCACCCCTGTGCTTTTTTGTATATAGTGAGAAGGAGGATCATGATCGAAAGAAGGACAGACAGAAGATCAAGAAGAAGAAGGAGTCCGATCTGCCCTCGGCCATCCTGCAGACCAGTGGAGTGTCAGAGTTCACAAAGAAGAGAAGCAAACTGGTGCTTCCGACACCACAGGTCAGAGTTCTCACAAACTGTACTGCCTTAACCGTGGTAAAAATCCCTGTGACTTATGCCTTAAACAGAAACACCTTTGCAACCATAGAACATCCTATGAACTGCATCGGAGCCAGTGCTGTTACTGTTAACTAAAACTATTAAAAAGCTTTTTCATTAATTGAAATAAAACTGAAATTAAATATAAATATTAGATGAAAAACTTTAGAAATTAAATGTGCAAAAAAGTGCAAAAAGTATTAAAATGACTAAAAGTGAAATAAAAATAAATCTAAGTCTAAATAGAAATAACGACTAATAAAAATGACAAAAACACATAAAATTACTAATCCTTAAAATAAAATTAAAATGACAACTGAAAATATAAAATGAAAAGCTAATTCAAAATATTAATAAATAATATAATACTAAAATAACACTGATCGCAATATGTTAACCAAATAAAATAAATAGAAATAGAATAATATTTTTTTAAAAAGCACAAAATTAGTAAATCTTTAAAAATTAAAAGCAAACCTGAAAATATGAAATTAAAAGATAATTCTAAATATAGATGAATACTATAATGGTATATAAATAGTACTAAATTAACATTGATTGCAGCATGTTAACAAAATAAATCTAAATAGAAATATAAAACAAAAATTAATAGAAGTGACAAAAGCACATATAATTACTAAAACTTCAGAATTTAAAATGAAAACTGAAAATATAAAAGTAAAAGGTAATTCAAAATATTAATAATAATATACTAGTATATAAATAATACTAAAATTACAATTATATCAACATAGTAACAAAGTAAATTAAATCTCTCTCTCTATATATATAAACTAGGGCTGTCAAAATTAATGCGTTAACTTGTTAACGCAAATTCATTTTAACAGCACTAATTTTTATTAACACGCGATTAATGCAGCGCACATTTTCTGTTTGACCCATGGAGTAGCCCGTAGTTGGAGAAATGGAGATGCACAGTGTTGCCAACTTAGTGATTTAGCGACTTTTCAGAACCCTTTATAGGGATGGCTCGATACCACTTTTTCAGAACCGATACCGATCCCATACCAAAAATTCGGAGTATCTGCCGATATCGATATCGATCCGATACCAGCGCAGTTTTTTTAAATGAGTGTAGAATTTCTATACCTCAATATGTAGGTCGATCATCACTCTTTTGTATATTACACACCCTTTAGCGACTTTTTTTTTCTTTCTTCCAAAAAAGCGCCTAGCGACAAATCTTTAGGGTTTGCCCAACCCTTATTTAGTTTCTGAGACTCGCTGGTACTGCCGCGCGAGAGCGAGGTCTCTCTTTCCCAGCGCGCACACACCTCTATCTGCGTCTGTTCAGCGAGCTGTTCTGAGAGGAGCAGTGCCTTCAGTATTAATAAGCCAATTTCCCACCCAGTAATACATTTCATTACATTTAGGCTAGATATGATTGGCCTGCTTTCGTTAATTGAAATAACACTGAAATAATATATTTTATCCAAAGCGACTTACAGGGCATTCAGGCTATACATTTTTTTTACCAGTATGTTGTGTATATATATGTAAGAATCCTGAAAAAAATGTGTCAGTAAAAATATAAAGCAGCTGTTTTCAACATTGCTAAAATAAACTGAAGTGTTAATGCAAATCAGAATATATTAGAATGATTTCTGAAAGATCATGCTGAAAATTCATCTTTGCATCACAAGAATAAATTACATTTTAAACTATATTGAATACACTTAAAGAAAACACTTATTTTAAATTGTAATAAAATGTCACAATATTACAATTTTAATGTATTTTTGATCAAATAAGTGTGGCTTTGGAGAGCATAAGAAACTTATTTAAAAACATTACCAACCCTGACCCCGAACTTTTGAATATTAATACCTCATAATATTAAAGTATATGCTAAATTTCAGGTTAATGAGCTGTGTGAATAATGACTTTATGCATATGGTTTCCCAGAACCCCCAGTCACGGAGCCGAGGGCATGACCCCTCACGGTGGGATGACTCCTAAACCCTCAGTGGGTGTGACCCCGGGCAGGACCCCGCTGCGGGACAAGCTCAACATCAACACAGAGGAGGGTGGTGTGGACTACAGCGACCCGTCATTTGCCAAACACTTGGTGCGTAACGCCCATAATAATGAGCCTGACTTTGTCTGAGATTTAAACTTTTTTTGTCCTTGAGTGCATTTACTGCGGTTGTGATGCATTTATTTAAGTGTTTTTGAGTCATGGTGAGACGTTTTCTATCTGTTCCAGCAAAAGGAGTCCCGCGAGCAGCTCCGGCTGGGCTTGATGTCTCTTCCGGTGCCCAAAAATGACTTTGAGATCGTTCTTCCCGAAAACGCTGAGAAAGAGCTGGAGGAAGCCGAGGTGGACGAGAGTTTCGTGGAGGATGCGGCCGAGATAGAGCTGCGTAAACATGTCAGTTAACCGGCGAACACCATGGCCCGTCAGCTTCTAATGCAGCTTTCTGAGATCTGTACATACACGGATGTCGCTCAGGATCCAGAGGGTGCTGTGTTTAGCTTTCATATATTTGTTTTTGTTGTTATTTATCTTGTGTGATATTTCCACAGGCCGCCAGAGAGGCCGAGAGGGAGAAGGAGCTGCGTCAGAGACACACAGCAGTTCAGAGAGATTTACCAAGACCTTCAGAGGTGAGGAAATACACACACATCCCGTCCATACTTAACTTATCTATCACAATCACTGTGCCCCAAAACTGTGCTATTTTGGTATTATTAATATACTGTTATAGTATTTATCAATTTATTTGTTTTTATTTTATTTTTTTTGCTTGTAGCTATTTTTTTTTATGTTTCTTTTTAGTGTTTATAACTTTTTCTGTTTTAGTAATGTACTTTAGTAACTTAAAGGAAATTTTGAAAATTTGCTTTGGTGACTACATAAAAAAAAAAAATTGTGTAGTATTAATGTAGTTTTTGTTTTATTTCAATTAACAAATCTTTTGAAATTATTTTTGTAAATCACTGTCCCACATGTATTCAAATATATTTTTTTCCTAAATATTCCATTTAGTATTTTTATTTATTTTTTTAGTTTTAATAATTTTTTTTTTCTGTTTAGTTGGCAATGTAACATTTCTCATTTTCTTTCGTGTTTCTTTTTTTTGTGTGTGTAGAATTTTTTACAATAATCAATAATAGTTAGTTAACAAAAACATTTAAATATAATTTGTATATATTTTAATACTTAATATATTAAAACCAAGTACAAAACACAGTGAATGACTTTTAAGAGCACTAAAATGAATTAGAATTAACTTTCTTATACAGCTAATCAATAATAAACAATACAATTATGTAATAAAAACATTTAAATAAAATATAAATAAGTCCTATAATAAATAATACTTATTTAATATATTTAAAAAATAAAAAACAGTGGATGACTTAAGAGCATTAAAATGAAATGGAATTATCTGTTTATTATACTAAGCAATAATACAAGTGATTTTACCAAAACTATTGATTTTTAGTTTATTTTTATGATAAGTTAATCTGTTGATTTATTTCTTCAAATAATCAGATCTAAAGAAGGCATATTTATTTTATTTATTATTTTTTTATTTTTTTATTGGGAAAAAATGGTGTTCCACATGTAATTGAAAATGAAATCCATTGTTAATTTGTAATAAAAAGCAGGGCTGCAACAACGAATCAATACAATTATAATGAAGATAAATCATCAATACTGTAGTGCAAAAAGGTGTCATTCTCATTACTGTATTGTCAAAATGTGACTGACAGACACTGTTACATATACTCGCCAACGCTGATTTTTACTCACATTTGGCGCTAGGCGAGTGTTAATTTTAGGCCCTGTATGTATATGTATATATAAAATTTGTATTTTATTTTTATTTACTTATTTATTCTTTAAGATTAGTTAGTTTTTTTTGTATTTGTGTTTTATTTACAGTTTTTTTCTGATTTTTATTATTTTAAATTTATTAATGTATTTTTGTTTGTTCGGTTTTGGTGTGTACTTAATTTTATAATTCAATTTTCATATGTTCAGTAATGTTCGAGTCATTGGTAAAATCACCAAATTATTTTATTTCTTTTAGTGTATTAGTCTGTTAATTCTTAAAAGTCAGTGAGATCTTTATTTATTTTTTCGAACTTTTTATTTTATTGTTATTATTTTTTATTTATTTTTTTGCATTATAGTGTTATTTATCACTCATTATAGTGTTATTTTTGCATTATTAGGTCATTTCATAATAATTTTTTATTTTATTGTTTAGATTTTATTGTTGTTTGTTTGTTTGGTTTTGGTGGGTGCTTCATTCTTTTTTTTGTGTGTGCGTTTTCAGTTTAGTATAACAGATGGATAATTCGGATCCATTCTTAGTGCTCTTAAAAGCCATTCAGTGTGTTAACCTCATAATTAACCAGCCAAGATAAACGGTAATAAATCCGTTAATTCTGTTTTAATGAGGACGGCTGTAAACTCCTGGGCATTCATGCTTGGTTTAACTCAAACTGTCTAAAAATACATTTGTATTTTTGTTTATTTTTGTGTTTACAAGTACTATTTTGCTTATAGCCATACTTTAACTTTTTTTTTAAACCGTTAATTTCAGTTAATTTGTTGTCGTTTAATTTATTTATCGATTTATTTAAATATTTAATTTTGTATATTATAAAATTGTTATATTTTCTCTTATCAACTTAAATTTAATATAGATATTAGAAAAAGTAATTGTCGTTTATAATTTTATATATATTGTAATATGTAATAAATAA